ATCACTACTCTCTCTCTTTCCACTGTTTTCCTATCAACAATGAATATGTTCTCCCACTTTCGCTGTTAAAAATTTCAGTGCATTTGTTCTGTCTCGCGCTGGGCCTGTAATAGCAGTACTTTTCTATAGGACATATGCTTTAAGCCCAGCGGGAAGCCAGGGGGCCTCAAAGAGAGGTTCTCAGGGATTTTTCTGAAGTGATGGTCTTTAGAGTCTTTGATGATGCAACAAAGTCTTTATTATGGAACAAACAACAAATCTTCAATGGTTCAAACAACACTTCAAGGCTTTCTTAGTCTAGTCCTCAATGGACTGGTACCTGTCTTTGATTAACTAAACTCTCTCTGTAGGAAACAACCCTATTTAACCTCTCCCAGGCTGTTTACTATCTATGCCTCATCGGTGTGGGACCTACTACCAATTCCAAATGCGTCTGGGTATCGAGTAGACCTACCAGCCGAGGCTTGAAGATATTTCAGCTGGAGTTCCATGGATCTGTAGTGCTGTCCTCCCTCAGAGAATTCTTTGAGAACTTCAGGGCTGTTTTCCCTCTGATTGCTGTGAGGCTGAGAGGCTGTGAGCTCTCAGCCAGAGCCTTGGGACATTTTCCCTGGAATTTCTGTTTCTGTTTCCCTGGATGTTCTTGAGAAAAGAAGCTTTTCTATGGGACGAGCTGGTCTACGTCCTATAGTTTAGCTTCCTTATGTGAGACTGCCCAAAAAATGGCTCCTTTCCCTCCCAGAGCCCTGAACAAGGGGCGGAACCAAAGCTTAATTAAGACGGATAGGAGGCCTGCCCTATGACTGCAAACAGATAACAGAAAGAAAATAAAGTTGGATCTCCTGGTACAGCTGGACCAGCACAGCAGTTATTAATTCTATAAAACTTATCAATAAAAATATTTTAAAAAAATTAAATCACAAGGACATCTTATGTATTTTTTTGTTGGTGGTGGAACCGAAATGAGTGTGCCTGTACAATGGATGCTGCCTTAGAATTGAATAAATATTCAAGTGTGGACAAATCTCTCTTATTAAATTGCATATAAAATATGATGGCATGAATATCATATTTGGCATACGTTGATATCCAATAGAGTCCAGCTCATGGAGATGGAACTTAGGCTACTGATAGAGCCTTTAATCCAGGTGACTCTGCCATTAATTTCTTCTGGGTGCAAAGCCATGGATTAAATCAATTGCTCCCGCTGGGATCCCAATCGGTTTTCCAGATGGGCCGTGGCCTGTAAGCTGTCCCTTGGGCTAAACCTCTCTGTCTCTCCTGCCGTCTTCAGATTCTCCCTTTTAGAGGCAGAAGGGGGGCTAGGAGAGACCCTCCTCCTGCGGAGACTATTCATTGACAGCTGCAGCAAATGCCACGCCAATCCTTTGGGCAGCAAGCGTCAGAATAAGAGGAGGAACAAAAGCTGCTTCTGCGTGTCTCTCTGCTGCGTGGTTTGGAGGAAGGATGCTTTGGGGGAATCTTTGTCCTGTACGAGCCAAAAAGAACACCTTGTCCATCTTTTGATGGTGGGTTTCCATCCATTCTGGAATGGCGAAGATTGTCTCACACTTTGGAATAGCAATGTCTGGCTGTTAATCATTGCAATGTCGGAGTAATGATCATCCGGACCTAGCAGGTAAGGAAATCCCTTCCAAACAGAGGCATCAAGCTTAGAATCAAGCTATCAGAAGGGATGTATTTGCTCATAACAGCTTGCCAAAACTTTAAGATCTTTACACGATAGAATTAATGCAGTTTGACACCACTTTAACTGTGATGGTTCAATGTTACGGCAGGCTCAAGACCGTCTCTAACTGCAACTCCAAGGAGTCCTTAGCAGTTGAAGTGTGTCAAACTGCATTAATTCCACAGTGTAGATGCGCCCCAAGTCTCATATTTATTTGGGATATGAGAGAAGACTGAGTTGGTTACTTACTTACTTACTTAGGCAATCCCTCTTAGTCCGAGTAGGATTATCTTCCACGATCGGTGTCCTACAGATCGGTGGGTCTGTAGGTGACTTTGGAGCCCTATTCTTGACCTGCATGTTCTCCCGCAGTGAGGGCATCGGTTTCCAGGTGGAAGGCGGTCAACGTTGAGGTTGGCTTGACATGCCTTCCTCTTGGCACATTTCTCTCTTTCGCCCTCCATTTGTGCCTCTTCAAATTCTACAGCACTGCTGGTCACAGCTGACCTCCAGCTGAAGCGCTCAAGGGCCAGGGCTTCCCAGTTCTCAGTGCCTATGCCAGAGTTTTTAAGGTTGGCTTTGAGTTGGTAGCTTCCTCCAGACTCTGGAATTCCCTTCTCTGCTGAACATCTTTTCACTTTGTTGGGAAACTTTTGTATTCAGGTAGAATTTTAAGAACTGATTTTTAAAAAAGCTTTTCTGTAGTATTGTGTTGTACTGCTGTACACAATTATTGTTTTTTTAAATAGTTTAAATGTTATAAAGAAGTGGAAATTTAGCAATATTCTTTTCTGTGTGTTTTTTAAGCTGCTCTGAATTCCACAGCTAGGAAAAAAGTGGAATCTATCCGGCTTCTTTCATACCATCTTATGGCATCTTTGGATATTTAATTTTGGTAGAGGACTTAGATTTCTCTGCCAGAGAGTCCTCGTGTCTAGTTAAACTTTGTTACTGTTGAGGTGTGTGTTGACATTATGTCCTACTTATGGTGACTGTCAGGTCCGTAGCCAGGATTTTGATTCGGGGGGGGGGGGGGGGGGGGCTGAGTCTGAGTGAAAGAGGGTCTACCCTAGCAAACCTTTTGTATCGTTACCCCAATACCCCCATGCATATGGGATATATTGATCATGGTGATCAGATCATGATATGAATAAACATAACAGTTTAAATAATGTACCAGTAAGGCCTTCTCGGACCACCATGAGAATTTGGGGGGGGGGGTTAAGCCCCTCACGCCCCCCCCCCCCCCCCACGGCTACATGCCTGGTGACTGTAAAGGGGACCTTAGGTGAGACAGTGTGACATATTGGTTTGAGCACTGGAATTTAATTGTGCAAAACAGGATTCAAATCCTTGCTCAGCCATGGAAATGTACTGGTGACTTTAAACAAGCCACACATTCTCAGTCTCAAAACACTATGATATGTTCACTTCAGGGTTGCCATAAAACAACCTATTATTATTTCGTATCAAAAGCATTGCATAAAATAGTATAAAACCAATACAAATAGAAGGAGCGCAGGTGGCTAAATACCTTTTGACCCAAAACAGGCAACAGCAATGGCATTGTCTGTAACCTCCAACAATTCTTCCTCTGTGCATGAGGCAGGGCATAGTGGACAAGCATAAAGATGCGGAGTTGTCTGTTCTGCTCCACAGTCACACAAGGTGTGGGATTCTTTCAAGTAGTGCCATTTTTCCAGGTTGTCTTTTGATCTGCCCACTCTGCTTCTGAGTCTGTTCAGGGACTTCTAAGTTGCCCATTCTTGGCTTGCCCCTGGAGGAAAACTCTCTCTCATGGGGGGCCATCTAATTGGGGTTTCCTGGTTGAGCTTCCCAGAGGGATACCCTTGCTGTTGCTGGGGAGATGCCAAGAGGAGTGGTAGTTCTCATAAAGCTTTTCCTTGATCTGAGTCTACTGGGAGGATGCTGATAGCCATGCAGTGGGTGGCTTTCACAGTGTTCAATCTTATTTCTCTCACATTTAGCAGCAACTTCCCATTGCACATCGGGCGGGGGGGGGGGGGGCAATGCCAGCTTGCTTGTAGAGTTTATCAACAGGTGTAGATTTAAGACATCCTGTGATTATTCTGCATGTTTCATTCAATGCTGTATTCACCTGCTTTGCATGGGTAGACCTATGCCAAACAGGGAAGGTATACTCAGCAGTCGAGTAAGACAAGGCTAGGGCTGATGTTCTTACTAATTTTGGGTCTGCACCTCATCTGCTGCCAGTAAGTTATTGTGTACAGCTACTTTGTGTTTGGTGTTCAGGCCATATTTCCTATATACTAGTGTTCAATCTAAGGTGACACCGAGATATTTTGGATGGAAACAATGTTCAAGATCTTGACCTTCCCAGGTGACTTTCAATTTCCTGTTGGCTTCACAGTTGCGTAGGTGGAAAGCACACACTTGTGTCTTGGCAGAGTTAGGCTTCATTTGGTTATCTTTGCAGTAGCTGGAGGCATTCATATGTTGGATTTCAACAGTTTCAAAGTTTTTTGCTTGTGTTGTTAGGACAAGGTCATCAGCATATATAAAACAACCTGAAGGCACACAACAAGAGGGGGCTTTCTTGACAAGCTTTCTTCAGAGTGGGATATCCTTTGCTTTTGCCTGAGGCTGAGAGTGTGTGACTAGCACAAGATTACAAAGTGTGGTGGAGCAGTGGGTTAAACTGCTGAGCTGCTGAACTTGCTGACCAAAAGGTCAGTGGTTCGAATCTGGGGAGCAGGGTGAGCTCCCGTTGTTAGCACCATCTTCTGCCAACCGAGCAGTGTGAAAACATGCAAATGTGAGATCAATAGGTCCTGCTCCTGTGGGAAGGTAATAGCGCTCCATACTGTTATGCTAGCCACATGACCTTAGAGGTGTCTACGGACAATGCTGGCTCTTCGCTTAGAAATGGAAATGAGCACCTACCGCCAGAGTCAAATACGAGTGGACTTAATGTCAGGGGAAAACCTTTGCCTTTACCTTCGATAGCCAAGCAAGGATTTGAATACTGATCTCCAGAATCATAGTCAAACCACTATATCATCATGGGGGGACTAAATACCCTAAAAACATCAGATACTGTCTGTTCTTGGAAGTTAAGCAGCGTCAACCCTGATTAGAACTTGGATTAGAACCTGCCAGCAAATACCATGTGGTGTAGATTGTATTTTGGAGGATCCAACAAAAGTACCTGCCTAAGGAAACATTGCCTGCCTAAGGAAACCATCTGAAATTCATAATGGAATAGAGGTTTTGCTATATATCAGTCACCCATGTGGAGTATTTTGGAGTTCAGATTTTTGAATAAGTGATGCTCAACCTGCATATATTTATTCTACAGACCAAGATGTACCAAGTAATGAAAGAAGAATCCGATTATGGTACCAACGGCAGTGATAGCATCAAACTCCTGGACCAAAGGAGCAAAAAAATTCCCATGAAACTATTCAATGTGCCTTGCCATGCTGAGCAGATCCTTCAGACCCTCAACTCCTATCGGCAGGATGGCATCTTCACCGATGTGGTGCTGGTGATGGGCGGGCAGAGATTTCCTTGCCACCGGGCCACCTTGTCTGCCAACAGTACCTATTTCCGGGCCATGTTTGCTGGGAGGCTCGAGGAAGGCTGCCAAGGCATTGCCAACCTTCAAGCCATGTCTGCTCCTAGCATGAGCCTCATCCTGGATTATATGTACGGTGAGGATGTATTCATCCAAGAGGACAATGTAGAAGGCCTCCTTGAGCTGTCCAACTTGCTCCAGATCCCCAGACTCAAGGATGCCTGTGTCGCCTTCTTGGAAAGACAGCTTCACCCTCGCAACTGCTTGGGCATCATGAGGTTTGCCAACTCCTTCTCCATCTCTTCTCTGGTTGAGAAGAGCAAGAGATTGGTCCTGGAAGGGTTTGTGGAGGTGTCTCATCATGAGGAATTTCTCGAGCTTGATGCCAAGGAACTCGGAACATGTCTCTCGAGTGACTGGCTGGTGGTCCCTAAAGAGGAGGTGGTCTTGGAAGCCCTCATGCAATGGGTCCGCCATGACGTGGCTTCCAGGAGAGGGGCTCTGAAGGACCTTCTGAAACATGTGCGACTCCCACTCTTGGACCCTCTGTACTTCCTGGAGAAGGTGGAAGTGGACGCAGTCATCCATCAGTCCAAAGAGTGTCTCCCATTGCTGCAAGAAGCTCGCAAATATTACATCCTGGGAACAGAGGTCAACTCTCAACGATGTAGACCCAGAAGGTAAAAGGGGGAAATTACCAACCATTTCTGCTTGCTTTCTGTTGTTGTTATGTGTCTTCTAGTCAACTCCGACCTATAGTTTGCCATGACTTTCCTCTTTTGTTCAGAGAGGATTTGGCAGTGACATCACTAGAACTGGAGGGCAGAAACTCAAAGCGTCACCTCCATAGACCAAACCAGACGACCATGGACCTACTCCATGGACCAAACCAGATGACAACATTGTAGCTAAAATATCAAAATATTGGAGAAAATCAAAGACTAAATCCTCCAGCATCTAAAATAGTATGTGCTTGTAGTAAATGCAAGCCAAACCATCCAGGTCTGAAGCGTCATTACACAGAAGACAGTTAACCAGAACTCAGGCAACTGGGGGAAATGAAGATATAATACTGCAGTTGCCAAAATATTTTATGATACAGTAACAATATTAGTTGGCCAATTTTAATAGGTACTCTCACAGAATCATAGCATTGAATGAGAATGCATGGTCCATCTAGTCCAGCACCCTGCCATGCAGGAAAAGCACAATCAAAGCACCCCCAACAGATGGTCATCCAGCCTCTGTTTAAAAGGCTCCAAAGAAGGAGCATCCATCATATTCCGGGGCAGAGAGTTCAACTGTTAAACAGCTGTCACAGTCAGGAGGTTCTTCTTAATGATCAGGTGGAATCTCCTTTCCTGTAATTTGAACCCATTGCTCTCAAGCAACCAGAAACTGCATTTATTCTGCATCTAGCAATCCCCACAGGTGCTGGTTAACTGAGAGTCCACTGTAATTGGATAATTCCTTTGACAGAAGCCCATGGACATTAGAAGATTAAAAAAGCAAACTAGCAGAAAGTTTTAGCCTTGTAGATACTTACTTACTTACTTAGGTGATCCCTCGTAGTCCGAGGATGATGGTCCTCCAAGTGTAGCTCTGTTGCAGCCTAAAGTCATTTTTCTTGCTCCAGATTCATGGAATTAGCCGAGATGATCGTTGTGATCGGAGGCTGTGACAAGAAAGGCTTTTTGAAGCTCCCTTTTGTGGATATCTTCCACCCAGAGAGCGGCCAGTGGAAGCCACTCCCCAACTTGCCTGGATATACCAAGTCGGAGTTTGCAACCTGTACCCTGAAGAATGATGTCTACATCTCAGGTAAGATGACATAGTAGATGACATGGAAGGGAACCCAGCTATTTATTTATTTATAGTAATTTTATTCTGCCCTTCTCACCCTCAATGGGATTCAGGGCAGATCACAGAACACATATACAGCAAACATTCAGTGCTGATTATACAATGACAAGACAGACAACAGATAGAGGTATATATAGGCTTTCCTATATTTTGGCATCTTTGGAGGCTGTGCTTGGTTCCGGCCACAGGGGGGTGCTGTCACTCCATCTCAATGCCGAAGAGCTATTCTTAGTTCTTAAACTTCCTCCTTTTTGTGATTGAAATTTCCTGCCTAAAATATCTTCCTGCTTTAATGTGCTTCCTATTGAACTACTTACTTTTGTTTTTAAACTGCTAGGTTGGCAGAAGCTGGACAGAAGGTCAGGTGCTCACCCTGACCCGGGCTTCAAACTATCAACCTGCCAGTTGACAAGATTTATTACAGCTTGGTGATTAACCTGCTGTGCTAAAGCCCAGCACTATGAACAGGGGTGGGGGAAATACCCCAGCCACAAGCGGCCCCAAAGTTGTTTTTCTGGACCTTGAGCAGACTCCTTGAACAGCTATAAAATGTACTTGTAGGTCACATCAATCAGAGTCTGGTGTCTAGACTGAAAGAAGTCATGGTCCCACTCTGTTCTGCTTTGGTCAGACCTCACCTGGAATAACCTTGTGCCCATTTCAGGGCATCACAATCCAAGAAAGATATTGACAAGCTGTCTAGAGGAGGGTGATCAAAATAGTCAAAGGCTGGAAAACTCCCTGGGCGCATCCAGGCAGCCCTTTTATTTCAGTAACTCCCGCAATAAAGAAGGGGCTGTCCAGATGATGTCCTGAACAATCCTGAATCAATTCACTACAAACCAGGAAAACCCTGGGGACCCTCCCCCCACCCCCCAGCCCAAACCCCTTTGAAAAGTAAAGAAAACTTACCCGGCCTCCAGTACAGCCTTGAAGCACTTCTCCTGGTGCAAATTAATTAGATAGTTGATTTATTCCATGTCTTCTTGGAAGGTGCGGGATAAACCCACTATTTCCGGTGTCTGGACTGCAGACACCATTCCCACAGTTTTCCGGACTGAATTAGTCCAGAAAACTGTGGGAATACCCCCCCTCCCCCAAAGCCCCCAAACCCCTTTGAAAAGTAAAGAAAATTTACCCGGCCTCTAGTACAGCCTTGCAGCACCTCTCCCGGTGTGAATTAATTAGATAGTGGATTTATTCCATGCCTTCTTGAAAGGTGCAGGATAAACCCACTATTTCTGGTGTCTGGACTGCATACACCATCCCCACAGTTTTCCAGATTAAATTATCTGTGGAGCCCTATTCTTGACCTGCATGTTCTCCCGCAGTGAGGATATTGGTTTCCAGGTGGAAGGCGGTCCTGGTCAGGATTGGCTTGATGCACCTTCCTCTGGGCACGTTTCTCCCTTTTGCCCTCTATTTGTGCCTCTTCAAATTCCACAGTACTTCTGGTCACAGCTGACCTTCAGTTAGAGTGCTCAAGGGTCAGGGATTCCCAGTTCTCGGTGTCTATGCCACAGTTTTTAAGGTAGGCTTTAAGTGCATCTTCCAATGTCTTTTCCTGTCCACCAATTTCCTGCTCTTGAGACGGTTATTGGGCATTCGGACAAGGTGGCCAGTCCAGAGGAGTTGACGGCAGAGGGCCATCACTTCAATGCTGGTGGTCTTTGCTTCTTCCAGCACACTAACATTTGCCTGCCTGTCTTCCAAGCGAGTTGCAGGATTTTTCGGAGGAAGCGCTGATGGAATCGTTCTAGGAGTTGCATATGACGTTTGTAGACAGTCAACATTCTAAAAAAAGTTCTAAAAGAGTGCCAAACTATTTTCAGTGTCTCACCACATCCTTCCTCCCAAAGCTATGACACTACTTTATGGAAACCCCTTTTGCCTTTGCTTTCAAAGGAGGCCATATCAACACCCGAGATGTCTGGCTACTGAGCTCCCGGCTGAACGTCTGGCTCAAGGTTGCCTGCTTGCAGAAGGGCCGATGGAGGCACAAAATGACTGCTCTCTGTGGAAAGGTAGCTGTTCCTGCAACTCTAGTAACCTGCAACTCCACATAGGAATGGAGCTGCACAGGCATCCTGAAGCTAGTGATAAAAGAGGGCCATGCACACCTATAACACTGTGTAACACGATTTTTGTTCCTGGGTTATACATTTTATTTATTTATTTATTTATTTATTTATTTAGCAGTTCGAGGGACTCAGGCCGGTTTCCAACATCAATATTACAGACAGTCATTAAAACATCATATTCTAAATCACACTAAAACATTAAAATAGCAAAATACAATCATATAATTACAGTGGTCAGTCGTCATTATCCATAATCATTATTCGTCGTTATCCATCCATATCACAGGATCATGGCTCATTCGTCGAATGCCAGTCCCCAAAGCCAAGTTTTCACCTGTTTCCTGAACATTAAGATAGAAGGGGCAGTTCTGATCTCCAGTGGAAGGGAGTTCCAGAGTCGAGGGGCCACCACCGAGAAGGCCCTGTCTCTCGTCCCCACCAGCCGCGCCTGTGAGGCTGGTGGGATCAAGAGCAGGGCCCCTCCAGATGATCTTCGCAATCTTGATGGTTCATAGGGGAGGATACGTTCGGACAGGTAAATTGGGCCGGAGTCATTTTGTACATGCCATTTTGTAATTGGTTCTATCATCAAAACATGAGAAAAGTTCATTAAATTGCAAAAACTTTGTTTTTGCGGGGCATCCTGTGGTGCATCTTGCAGCACATTTTGCTCAATTAATATTTCTTAGAGTCCCAACCAATTCAATATTGTGTGTGGCAGCCACAAAATCGAAGTTTGTGGAGGATAACAACTACTTTCAAAGTGAAAAGCACACACTTAAACAGGAATGACATTTTCAAACCAGAAAAATTTCTTTTTCAAATTTGTTTACATTGTGTAATCTTTTGGTTAAAGGCTTTGCAGCAAGAGAGCAAGTGCAACAAGGCTGAGTGGATGCACACAAGCCCTCAGAAGCAGAAAATTGAAACTTCCCAAAAATCACACCATGCATGCTTATTTAACGGTTTCTGTTGCTGAACTAAGCCTGCTCACTGCTTCATGGACCAGCCATAACCATTTCAGTCTAGACTTATCTATAAAGTTTATGGGAATGAAAAGACACATCAAAGTTTTATCACATGCCAAGGCTACATTGTATGGGATTGAAAAGTACATGGCTTGATGATATCATGTTGCAAGGAAGCCACATTTGGGTAAACAGCTTGGCATCTTGGAGTTCTGTGGCTGGAAATAGGCATACAATTTGTTTGTGCATACAATTTGAGTTTTACTGGTTCTGACACAATTGTGGTTCCCTCCACTATTAGCTAAGCTATCATAAGTTTGTTGTAGGTTTTTTTGGGCTGTATGGCCATGTTCTAGAGGCATTCTCTCCTGACGTTTTGCCTGCATCTATGGCAAGCATCCTCAGAGGTAGTGAGGTCTGTTGGAACGAGGAAAATGGGTTTATATATCTGTGGAATGACCAGGGTGGGACAAAGAACTCTTGTCTGCTGGAGCTAGGTGTGAATGTTTTAACTGACCACCTTGGTTAGCATTTGATAGCCTGGCAGTGCTTGGGGAAATCTTTTGTTGAGAGGTGATTAGATGTCACTGATTGAGAGGCTGAGAGGAGAAGGCTGAGAGGGGATGTGATAGCCATGTATAAATATGTGAGTGGAAGCCACAGGGAGGAGGGAGCAAGCTTGTTTTCTGCTTCCCTGGAGACTAGGACGCAATGGAACAATGGCTTCAAACTACAAGAGAGGAGATTCCATCTGAACATGAGGAAGAACTTCCTGACTGTGAGAGCCGTTCAGCAGTGGAACTCTCTGCCCCGGAGTGTGGTGGAGGCTTCCTTCTTTGGAAGCTTTTAAACAGAGGCTGGATGGCCATCTGTCGGGAGTGATTTGAATGCAATATTCCTGCTTCTTGGCAGGGTTGGACTGGATGGCCCATGAGGTCTCTTCCAACTCTTTGATTCTATGATTTATTTCTTCTCTGTTGTTTTGCTGTTGTCATTTTAGAGTTTTTTTAATACTGGTAGCCAGATTTTGTTCATTTTCATGGTTTCTTCCTTTCTGTTGAAATTGTCCACATGCTTGTGGATTTCAATGGCTTCTCTGTGTAGTCTGACATGGTGGTTGTGAGAGTGGTCCAGCATTTCTGTGTTCTCAAATAATATGCTGTGTCCAGGTTGGTTCATCAGGTGCTCTGCTATGGCTGACTTCTCTTGGTTGAAGTAGTCTGCAGTGCCTTTCATGTTCCTTGATTCGTGTTTGGGCAATGCTGCGTTTGGTGGTCCCTATGTAGACTTGTCCACAGCTGCATGGTATACGGTAGACTCCTGCAGAGGTTAGAGGATCCCTCTTGTCCTTTGCTGAACGTAGCATTTGTTGGATTTTCTTGGTGGGTCTGTAGATAGTTTGTATGTTGTGTTTCCTCATCAGCTTCCCTATGTGGTCAGTAGTTCCCTTGATGTCTAGCAAGAATCCTTTTCCTCTGGGTGGATCTTTGTCAATACTCTCATGGCTTGTTCTCGGTCTTGCAGCTCTTCCTATGTCTGAGGTGGAGTATCCGTTGGCCTGTAGAGCCTAGTTTAGATGGTTCGGTTCATCTTGGAGGAGGTGGGCTGCACAGACTTCACTACCTCTGATGCTTGCCATAGAGGCAGGTGAAACATCAGGAGAGAATGCCTCTAGAACATGGCCATATAGCCTGAAAAAACCTACAACAACCCAGTGATTCTGGCCATGAAAGCCTTTGACAATACATTAAGCTATAATCTGCTAGCAATTCTCATTTTAACAAGTAGATATTTCAGCTAATTAAACACTCATCCCCCCAAAAGGAGAAAAACAACATTGTGTGGAAAATGGTTCTCAGACTATTCTTAGTTCTTTGTCTGCCTTGCAGAATTATAGCCATTTGACACCACATTAACTGTCATTGCTCAATGCTATGGGATTCTGGGATTTGTAGTTTTGTGAGATATTTACTCTACTTTGCCAATGAGTGCTGGTGCCACAAAAATATCCCAAAGTCCAGGATTTTCACAGGAGAGAGCTACAAGGGTTGAATGAAAAGTAAAACGAAATGCAAAGATACAGAATGGGGGATAATGCCTGGCTTGAGAGCAGTACGTGTGAAAAAGATCTTGGAGTCCTCGTGGACAACAAGTTAAACATGAGCCAACAATGTGATGTGGCGGCAAAAAAAGCCAATGGGATTTTGGCCTGCATCCATAGAAGCATAGTGTCTAGATCCTGGAAAGTCATGCTCCCCATGCTCTATTCTGCTCTGGTTAGACCACACCTGGAATATTGTGTCCAATTCTGGGCACCACAATTCAAGAGAGATATTGACAAGCTGGAATGTGTCCAGAGGAGGGCGACTAAAATGATCAAGGGTCTGGAGAACAAGCCTATGAGGAGCGGCTTAAGGAGCTGGGCATGTTTAACCTAAAGAGGAGAAGGCTTGGAGGAGATATGATAGCCATGTATAAATATGTGAGAGGAAGCCACAGGGAGGAGGGAGCAAGCTTGTTTTCTGCTTCCCTGGAGACTAGGACACGGAACAATGGCTTCAAACTACAAGAGAGGAGATTCCATCTGAACATAAGGAAGAACTTCCTGACTGTGAGAGCCGTTCAGCAGTGGAACTCTCTGCCCCGGAGTGTGGTGGAGGCTCCTTCTTTGGAAGCTTTTAAACAGAGGCTGGATGGCCATCTGTCAGGGGTGATTTGAATGCAATATTCCTGCTTCTTGGCAGAATGGGGTTGGATTGGATGGTCCATGAGGTCTCTTCCAATGCTTTGATTCTATGATTCGAATGCCTCCAGCTTCATTACTTGGGTTTGGATGGCTGGATGACCATCTGTCAGGGGTACTTTGAATGCAATTTCTTTGCTTTTTGGAAGAATGGGGTTGGACTGGATGACCCACTAAATCTCTTCCAACTCAATGATTCTATGATTCTACTCAAAGAACTTGTTAAAATAGAGAACATTTACCCTAAGCTGGACCTTAGGGAAGGCTGAGCGAAGGAAGAGATGCTTTTGAGCTGTGGTGCTGGAGGAAAGTTCTGAGAGTGCCTTGGACTGCGAGAAGATCCAACCAGTCCATCCTCCAGGAAAGAAAGCCCGGCTGCTCATTGGAGGGAAGGAGGCTAGAGACAAAGTTGAAGTACTTTGGCCACATCATGAGGAGACAGCAAAGCCTAGAGAAGACAATTATGCTGGGGAAAGTGGAAGGTAAAAGGAAGAGGGGCCGATTAAGGGCAAGATGTATGGATGGCATCCTTGAAGTGACTGGACTGACCTTGAAGGAGCTGGGGGTGGTGACGGCCGACAGGGAGCTCTGGCGTGGGCTGGTCCATGAGGTCACGAAGAGTCGGAGACGACTGAACGAATGAACAACAACGCCCTAAGCATCAGTATTTTATAGTATTTCAGAGTTACACAAAGACAAAGTGTGTATGAGCAATATCTAATGCGTACGTGATATCTATGTGACCAGCACAACGTCTATCAAAAGCTTGTTTGTGACTTGACAGGCTGTTCTCGGGATCTGGCACTGCATGGAGCCATAACATCTGGTTGTTGGCCCTGGGTACATAATATAACAACTATAGCATTTTTAGCATATTACAATGGCAGCACTCAGCAAACAATAAAGGCTATGGGGAGCTGTCAGCTAATGTCAAAGTCGAGATTATCAGGCTCACTAAAATGGATCAGCATACTCCTGAATCCTTAATATTTATTTTACAGAAATTACTACATAGAATCATAGAGTTGGATGAGACCTCATGGGCCATCCACAGACCAACCCCATTCCGCCAAGAAGCAGAAAAATTGCATCCAAAGCACCCCCAAAAATGGCCATCCAGCCTCTGTTTAAAAGCTTCCAAAGAAGGAGCCTCCACCACACTCACAGGCAGAGAGTTCCACTGCTGAACAACTCTCACAGTTAGGAACATCTTCTTGATGTTCAGATGGAATCTCCTTTCTTTTAGTTTGAAGCCATTGTTCCATTGCATCCTAGTCTCCAGGGAAGCAGAAAACAAGCTTGCTCCCTTCTCCCTATGACTTCCTCTCATGTATTTATACATGGCTATCATGTCTCCTCTCAGCCTTCTCTTCAGGCTAAACATGCCCAGCTCTTTAAGCCGCTCCTCATAGGGCTTGTTCTCTAGATGTCTCAAAGTGCTTGGTTTCTGCTTTTCCTTGGCAGATCTATGCCGTGGGTGGCTATGATGGCGTCTACCGCCTGGCCAGCGTGGAATGCTACGACTCCTTCTTGAATTGCTGGACGACTGTGACTCCTTTGCCTCTGGCTGTGAGTTCGGCTGCAGTGGTCTCCTGCCTTGGCCAGCTCTATGTGATTGGGGGTGCTCTGGATGACACTGCCAACACAGACAAGGTAATCAGACACCCTCAGGAAGAGCAAGCATTTCTAAGCCCTCCAATATCATTCTGGAGGACCTAGGCCAGTGGTTCTCACCCTTCCTAACGCTGTGACCCCTTAATACAGTCCCTCATGTTGTAGCAGCAGATAGGAGAGATAATACCAAGAGCGATCCTTTGTTTGGAAGTCAGAAAAGTATGCTTATTTCCAGCTGGGACTTTGGTGTGGACTCTCATCCAAAAGCAAGCCAGAGTAAGGATAAAGACTTTGCCTTTGCCTTTTATACCTCTTCAAATGCAGGCAAACAAAGAAACATGCTTCTACATTGTTGTTGTTCATTCGTTCAGTCATTCAGTCGTCTCCGACTCTTCGTGACCTCATGGACCAGCCCACGCCAGAGCCCCCTGTCAGCCATCGCCACCCCCAGCTCCTTCAAGGTCAGTCCAGTCACTTCAAGGATGCCATCCATCCATCTTGCCCTTGGTCGGCCCCTCTTCCTTTTGCCTTCCACTTTCCCCAGCATAATTGTCTTCTCTGGGCTTTGCTGTCTCCTCATGATGTGGCCAAAGGACTTCAACTTTGTCTCTAGTCTCCTTCCCTCCAGTGAGCAGTCGGGCTTTATTTCCTGGAGGATGGACTGGTTGGATCTTCTCACAGTCCAAGGCACTCTCAGAACTTTCCTCCAACACCACAGTTCAAAAGCATCTCTCTTCCTTCGCTCAGCCTTCCCTAAGGTCCAGCTCTCACATCCGTAGGTTACTACAGGGAATACCATGGCTTTGACTAGGTGGATCTTTGTTGCCATTCTGATGTCTCTGCTCTTTACTATTTTATCGAGATTGGACATTGCTCTCCTCCCAAGAAGGAAGCGTCTTCTGATTTCCTGGCCAAAGTCTGCATCTGCAGTCATCTTTTCACCTAGAACAACAAAGTCTGTCACGGCCTCCACATTTTCTCCCTCTATTTTTCAGTTGTCAATCATTCTTGTTGCCATAATCTTGGTTTTTTAATGTTTAGCTGCAACCCGGCTTTTGCGCTTTCTTCTTTCACCTTGATTAGAAGGCTCCTCGGCTCCTCCTCGCTTTCGGCCATCAGAGTGGTGTCATCTGCATATCTGAGGTTGTTAATGTTTCTTCCAGCAATGCTTCTACATACGTTAACATTACTACTACGTCACTTTAGAATCATAAAAATATCAAATTCTATCTTCCAACATGCAAGAGGCATGTCTCTATATTTTTTCTAAAGAAGCTTACATTCATCCATCAAGGGGCCAACTTTGACCTGTCAGGAGGGAGAGAGATTCCTTACTTTTTAGAAGAAGAAGGTATAGCCTGGGCTATGCTGTACCAGTCTTTGTATAGATAACATGCCCCCCTTCTCCTCCCCCTTTAACAGCATTCTTTCTGGCCTGTCAGCTCAGCTTTCTAACACAGAGAGATCTTGTTTTTTCTTACATTTCAGTGCTGGTAAAGTACATACAATATATGTATAAATAAATATCTATATTTTCAATATCTCCCCATCAATGTTGTGGTGACCCCCAACTATAACATTATTTTCGTTGTTACTTCCGTAACTGCAATTTTGCTATTGTTATGAATTGTAAAGTAAATATTTGATATGCATGACGTATTTTCATTCACTGGACCAAATTTGGCACAAATACCCGGTACGCTCAAATTTGAATGCTGGTGGAGCTTGGGGTTGTGTGGGTTGATCTTGTCATTTGAGAGTTGTCGTTGCTGGGATTTATAGTTCACATACAATCAAAGAGCATTCTGAACTTCACCAATGATGGAATTGAACCAAACTTGGCACACAGAACTCCTATGACCAACAAAAAATACTGGAAGGGTCTGATCGGCATTGGCCTTGAGTTTTGGAGTTGTAGTTCACCTATATCCAGAGAGCACAGTGGACTCAAACAATAATGTATCTGGACCAAACTTGACACAAATACTCAATATGCCCAAATGTGAACACTGGTGGAGTTTGGGGAAAATAGACCTTGACATTTGGGAGTTGTAGTTGCTGGGATTTATAGTTCACTGCCCTCGGTGGTGCAGTGGGTTAAAACACTGAGCTGCTAATCTTGTTGACCAAAAGGTTGCAGGTTTGAATCCGTGGAGCAGCGTGATCTTCCGTTGTCAGCCCCAGCTTCTGCCACCCTAGCAGTTCGAAAATATGCAAATATGAGTAGATCAATAGGTACCACTCCAGTGGGAAGGTAACGGTGCACCATGCAGTCATGCTGGCCACATGCTGGAGGTGTCTACGGACAACACTGGCTCTTTGGCTTAGTTAGAAATGAAGATGAGCACCAGACCCCAGAGTCGGACATGACTGGACTTAACGTCAGGGGAAAACCTTTACCTTTATTTTTTATAGTTCACCTACAATCAAAGAGCATTGTGAATCCCACCAATGAGAGAACTGAGCCAAACTTCCCACATAGAACCCCCAACAGAAAATATTATGTTTTCTGATGGTCTTTGGCAACCTCTCTGACACCTCCCTCACAACCCTTCAGGGGCCCCGACCTCCAGGTTGAGAAATGCTTACCTAAACTTTCCTAGTGAAGTGTTTCTTCTGTGGCTTTTCCATTTTTTCATGGGTCCTGCATCCCTCATGCACATTGACATGTACAACCTACTGTATACCTGTATATCTGTTGATCATTGATTATTTCCTCTTCCAGGTCCAGTGCTATGACCCGAAGGAAAACCAGTGGAGGATTTTGTCCCCTGCCCCTTTCAGTCAGCGATGCATCAACGCTGTCAGTTTGGACAACTTGATTTATGTCGTGGGTGGGCTCTTGAGTCATTGCTTCAGCTACAATCCCTTGAATGATACGTGGACCAGAATGGCATCTTTGTCTGCACCTCTAGTAAGGACAATATCCTAAGGCCTTGAGGGAAGGGGAGGGGAGAAAGAGGATCGCTGTATTCCAGCCATGAATTTCTGACCTTAATTGTTCAGAACAGTTTCCTGCAAGGTTGGTGAGATAAAGAAAACGTGGGACTAACTCAGGGTGGAAATTCAAACAGTTCCCAGATGCTGCTAAACTACAAGTCGCAGTAACCTCAACCTGCAAATCTCAAAGCAAGGGATACTAGGAACTGCAGTTCAGCATTATCCGGATGGCCATATTCTTCCCAACTTTGGTTTGACTTGCTTTTTGGGACACCAGCTTGGAGACTTTTCAATGTCTTGTGGCTCTCCAGATAGTGTTGTCTTTAGTTCACAGCATCCATAGCCTGCATAGTCAGTGGTTTAGAATGCTGGTAGCTGCAGTTCAACATCTGGGAGACTGGGTTGTTGTAGGTTTTTCCGGGCTATATGGCCATGTTCTAGAGGCATTTCCTCCTGACGTTTCACCTGCATCTAGGGCAAGCATCCTCAGAGGTAGTGAGGTCTGTTGGAACTAGGAAAAAGGGTTTATATATCTGTGAAATGACCAGGGTGGGACAAAGGACTCTTGTCTGTTGGAGCTAGGTGTGAGGTGTCACTACTTCTGAGGATGCTTGCCATAGATGCAGGCGAAATGTCAGGAGAAAATGCCTCTAGAACATGGCCATATAGCCCGGAAAAACCTACAACAACCCAGTGATTCCGGCCATGAAAGCCTTCGACAATACATCTGGGAGACTACTTGTATATTACCTCTGGCCAGAAGTTTAGTTGTTTGTTTGTTTGTTTGTTTGTTTACAATATTTATATTCCATCCTTCTCACCCCGCAGGGGACTCACGGCAGATCACAATGCACATATACATGGCAAACATTCAATGCCATAGACACACAACATATATAGACAGACACACAGAGGCTCTTTAACTTTCCAGCTTCATGAGCTTTTTGAATTCCTAATCTTTGTCATGTATGTATTGTTGAAGCCTTTCATGGCCGGAATCACTGGGTTGTTGTAGGTTTTTTCGGGCTATATGGCCATGTTCTAGAGGCATTCTCTCCTCTAGAGGAGAGAATATAGAGGAGAGAATGCCTCTAGAACATGGCCATATAGCCCGAAGAAACCTACAACAGCCCTTTTGTCATTTATACTTGGCTTTGTTTGTCAGTTTGTGCTGATCTACTAAAAGGAAACTGACAAACAAAGCCAGTATAAAAGACAAAGATTAGAAACAGGGCACATCTGAAAACATGTTTATCAGTTTGTGGTGATCTACTAAAAGGAGAGGAGCCTCCAGTAGCACAGTGGGTTAAAGCGCTGAGCTGCTGAGCTTGTTGACCAAAAGGTCACAGGTTCGAATCCGGGGAGTGGCATGAACTTCCGCTGTCAGCCTCAGCTTCTGCCAACCTAGCAGTTCAAAAACATGCAAATCTGAGTAGATCAATAGGTACCACTCCGGCGGGAAGGTAATGGCACTCCATGCAGTCATGCCAGCCACATGACCTTGGAGGTGTCCACGGGCAATGCCAACTCTTCGGCTTAGAAATGGAGATGAGCACCACACCCCAGAGTTGGACACGAATGGACTTAATGTCAGGGGAAGGCCTTTACCTTATTAAAAGGAAAAAGTCAAGGACTGAGAAATGTCATATTTTTGGATTACAACTCCCAATATCTTCTGATTCTGGAGGGTTTGGGAGTTATTGTTTTAAAAAGTCTTAATTCAAAGCTCTGGGAAAAGTAAAGGGTAAAGGTAAAGGTAGTCCCCTGACACTAAGTCCAGTCATGTCTGACTCTGGGGTGTGGTGCTCATCTCCATTTCTAGGCCGAAGAGCCAGCATTGTCCGTAGACACCTCCAAGGTCATGTGGCCGGCATGACTGCATGGAGCACCGTTACCTTCCCGCCGGAGCGGTACCTATTGATCTACTCACATTTGCATGTTTTCGAACTGCTAGGTTGGCAGAAGCTAGGGCTGACAGCGGAAGCTCACGCCGCTTCCCCGGAACCTGCGACCTTTCGATCAACAAGCTCAGCAGCTCAGTGCTTTAACCCACTGCGCCACCGGGGGCTCCTGGGAAAAGTAAACACCCCCTAAAAACCTGTGTGTTCAGATGTGTTGGGGTAATAGAAGCAACAGTTCTTCCATCTTTGCCAACCAGACCTTTCAGTTGACTCACAAAGTTATGTTAGGTTACTTAGAAGTTCTGTACTCATACCAGTCTCATTCTCTTCCATCAGGAGAGCTGTGGAGTCACCGTCTGCCATGGCAAGATCTTCATCCTGGGAGGCAGAGACGAGAATGGGCAAGGCACCAACAAGGTCTTGGCTTTGAATGTGGAGACAGGCACGCTGGAGCCACAGCCCCCTCTGCAGCGCTGCACCAGTTATCATGGATGTGGGACCATTCTGAGGCACACGAATAGATGATATGGCACCTGTGGGCCTCCTTCCCTCTTCCCCATGACACTCCCAACCCATCTCGAAAGGACACTGAGTTGGGATGCTCCCTTCCCTGCAAAAAGTGGGGCCCTTCCCTACATATTCTGGATATCATTGTGCCAAGTGTGGTCTTGAGGTCAGGTCACTTAAGTGACTGCTGAACTCCTCCACTTTATTTATTATTTATTTATTTATTTACAGTATTTATATTCCGCCCGTCTCACCCCGCAGGGGACTCAGGATGGATTACAATGCACATACACATGGCAAACATTCGATTCCAGTTAGATATACAACATAGATAGACAGATGTAGAGGCATTTGTTTCTAAGTGCTTGCAGACCACTTCCTTAACAATCTTTTCCAGAATCTTGCCCGGTATCAACTACCGTCCGGTCAGCCTCACGTCGATACCGGGCAAGATTCTGGAAAAGATTGTTAAGGAAGCGGTCTGCAAACACTTAGAAACAAATGCGGTCATCGCTAATAGTCAACATGGATTTATCAAAAACAAGTCATGCCAGACTAATCTGATCTCTTTTTTCGATACAGTTACAAGCTGGGTAGATGCGGGAAATGCCGTGGATGTAGCGTACCTGGATTTCAGTAAGGCCTTCGACAAGGTCCCCCATGACCTTCTGGCAAGGAAACTAGTCCAATGTGGGCTAGGCAAAACTACGGTGAGGTGGATCTTTAATTGGTTAAATGGACGAACCCAGAGGGTGCTCACCAATGCTTCCTCTTCATCCTGGAAAGAAGTGACGAGTGGAGTGCCGCAGGGTTCCGTCCTGGGCCCGGTCCTGTTCAACATCTTTATTAATGACTTAGATGAAGGGCTAGAAGGCAGGATCATCAAGTTTGCAGACGACACCAAATTGGGAGGGAGAGCCAATACTCCAGAGGACAGGAGCAGAATTCAAAACGATCTTGACAGATTAGAGAGATGATTGGCCAAAACTAACAAAATGAAGTTCAACAGGGACAAATGCAAGTTACTCCACTTTGGCAGGAAAAACGAAATGCAAGGATACAGAATGGGGGACAATGCCTGGCTCGAGAGCAGTACGTGTGAAAAAGATCTTGGAGTCCTCGTGGACAACAAGTTAAACATGAGCCAACAATGTGATGTGGCGGCAAAAAAAGCCAATGGGATTTTGGCCTGCATCAATAGGAGCATAGTGTCTAGATCTAAGGAAGTAATGCTACCCCTCTATTCCGCTTTGGTTAGACCACACCTGGAATATTGTGTCCAATTCTGGGCGCCACAATTCAAGAGAGATATTGACAAGCTGGAATGTGTCCAGAGGAGGGCGACTAAAATGATCAAGGGTCTGGAGAACAAGCCCTACGAGGAGTGGCTTAGGGAACTGGGCATGTTTAGCCTGAAGAAGAGAAGGCTGAGAGGGGATATGATAGCCATGTATAAATATGTGAGAGGAAGCCTCAGAGAGGAGGGAGCAAGCTTGTTTTCTGCTTCCTTGCAGACTAGGATGCAGAACAATGGCTTCAAACTACAAGAGAGGAGATTCCATCTGATAATTAGGAAGAACTTCCTGACTGTGAGAGCCATTCGGCAGTGTAACTCTCTGCACCGGAGTGTGGTGGAGGCTCCTTCCTTGGAAGCTTTTAAACAGAGGCTGGATGGCCATCTGTCAGGGGTGATTTGAATGCAATATTCCTGCTTCTTGGCAGGGGGTTGGACTGGATGGCCCATGAGGTCTCTTCCAACTCTTTGATTCTATGATTCTATGAAAAGGAAGGAAAAAGGAAGAGGGCCCAACCAAGGGCAAGATGGATGGATGGCATCCTTGAAGTGACTGGCTTGACCCTGAAGGAGCTGGGGGTGGTGACAGCCAACAGGGAGCTCTGGTGTGGGCTGGTTCATGAAGTCACGAACAGTCGGAAGTGACTGAACGAATGAACAACAACAGAAGCAATCTAACATTCCAGCTGTGCCCAAGCTTTTCCAACTTCATGAGGGTATGCTGGATTCCGGCTCAATTCTGGCCACACGGGGAGCTGCTGCTTCACCGTCCATTGTGACACTGAGTCCTTTGATGGAGTACTTTCTCATTCTTCTGCATGCTGCTGGAAGGTTTTATGGCATCGTAAATTAGTTAAATTAGCCTCCCCACATAAGCAGTGCCTAAATTTCCTACTTGACAAATGCAACTTTTGGCTGCATAGGTCAACAGCAAGCTAGACGAATGGCCGGAAGCTTACTCTGGCCCAGGCTGGCTTCTAACTCATGACCTCTTCGTCAGTAGTGATTTAATGCAGCTAGCTCTCAGGTAACTGCATCACAGCTCGGTCCCCTGCTCCTTCTCCTATGTTATTCTTCCACTTCCTCTTTCCTCTTCTCTTCCTCTCTTTTCTTCTCCTTCATCTTTTCCTTCTCCCTCTACTTTTTCTCCTCCTCCTCCTCTTTCCTCTGAAGTTAGAGAAGGACAGATTTCAGTTCAACATTAGAAGGAAATTCTTAACAGTCAGAGCACTTTGTCAATGGAACCAATGGTGCGGGTCTCCTGCTCTGGACAGCTTCCTGCTGAGGATGCTTCAGTTAGAGATTATGCATTGAGGAGCTGGTTGGACTAGATATCCCATGGGACTCCTTCCAACTCTGTGATCCTATGACTCCCTTCTCCTTCATTCTTTTTTCCTTGCCTTTCTATCTCATTTTTCTTTGCCTGGTTTCTTGTCAGTGTTGCATTAAAGTCAACATTGACACTGAAATACAACACCGCCTGAGCTCTGCGAGTGCAGCATTCTTCCGAATGAAGCACAGAGCGGTTGCGGACTGGGACATCCATAGGGATACCAAGGTGCTTGTTTATAAGGCCATTGTCCTCCCACCCCTGCTATATGCCTGCGAAACGTGGACTATCTACACACTCATAGAATCATAGAATCAAAGAGTTGGAAGAGACCTCATGGGCCATCCAGCCCAACCCCATCCTGCCAAGAAGCAGGAATGTTGCATTCAAAGCACCCCTGACAGATGGCCATCCAGCCTCTGTTTAAAAGCTTCCAAAGAAGAAGCCTCCACCACACTCTGGGGCAGAGAGTTCCACTGCTGAACAGCTCTCACAGTCAGGAAGTTCTTCCTCATGTTCAGATGGAATCTCCTTTCTTGTAGTTTGAAGCCATTGTTCTGCGTCCTAGTCTCCATGGAAGCAGAAAACAAGCTTTCTCCCTCCTCCCTGTGGCTTCCTCTCACATATTTATACATGGCTATCATATCTCCTCTCATCCTTCTCTTCTTCAGGCTAAACATGCCCAGCTCCTTAAGCCGCTCCTCAGAGGGCTTGTTCTCCAGACCCTTGATCATTTTAGTCGCCCTCCTCTGGACATTCAACTCCTGGAAAAATCCCATCAGCGTTGCCTCCGAAAAATTCTGTAAATCTCTTGGGAAGACAGGCGGACAAATGTCAGCGTACTGGAAGAAGCAAAGACCACCAGCACTGAAGCGATGCTCCTACTCCATCAACTCCGCTGGACTGGCTATGCTGTCCGAATGCCCGATCACTGTCTCCCAAAGCAGTTGCTCTATTCCGAACTCAAGGATGGAAAACGGAATGTTGGAGGGCAGGAAAAGAGATTTAAAGATGGGCTCAAAGTCAGTCTTAAAAATTGTGGCACAGTCACTGAGAACTGGGAAGCCCTGGCCCTTGAGCACTCTAACTGGAAGTCAGCTGTGACCAGCAGTGCTGCAGAGGCATGAACAGAGGGTGAAAGGGAGAAACGTGCCAAGATTAAGGCGCATCAAGCCAACCCTGATCGGGACCGCCTTCCACCTGGGAAGCAATGTCCTCATTGCAGGAGAACATGCAGATCAAGAATAGGGCTCTACAGTCACCTACGGACCCACCACCAGTACACCGATCTTGGAAGACCGCCTTCCACTTGGAAACCGATGTCCTCACTGCGGGAGAACATGCGGGCCAAGAATAGGGCTCCACAGCCACCTACGGACCCAGCGCCAAGACACTACACTTGGAGGACCATCATCCTCAGGCTACAAGGGATTGCCTAAATAAGTACATTGTACCTGGGCCCCATGATAAGTCATTACCTGGAGATTGGGGAGAGCTATCCCATGGCAGAGTCCATTTACCATGCTATACCTTCCAATATATTTTTAAAATTTATTTGTCGTGTCAGGAGCAAACCAAAACAGTTGTATTGCATTAAAAAATCAGACAAACAAACAAACAAAACACAAAATTTGCAGACTTGGTATTCTATTAAATATCCTTTGACCAGAATCTGGCCCCTTGGAGTGCCTCTGGTGTTGCCGCAAGATGGTCCTCCATTGTGCATGTGGCAGAGCTCAGGTTGCATTGCAGCAGGTGGTCAATGGTTTGCTCTTCTCCGTACTCACATGTCGAGGATTCCACTTTGTAGCCCCATTTCTTAAGGTTGGCTCTGCATCTCGTGGTGCCAGAGTGCAGTCTGTTCAGCGCCTTCCAAGTTGCCCAGTTTTCTGTGTGCCCAGGAGGGATTTTCTCATTTGGTATCAGCCATTGGTTGAGGTTCTGGGTTTGAACCTGCCACTTTTGGACTCTCGCTTGCTGATACCCAAACAGAGGATGGGCCGGAGATGTCACTGCCTTGGTCACTGCAATCCTCGCAGGATTGCGGAGCATCCGGGCGTCCCCTGGGCAACGTCTTCATAGACGGCTGATTCTCTCACTCCAGAAGTGACCAGAAGCAACTTGCAACCAAACAAGCTTCCAATATAAATACAATAGCAGAGATTTATATGCCAATGTCAAATTGGCCACAGCACTGTAGCATCTCTTGTCTGATTAATAAATGAGTCCATTTTGTGCCGTTGATGCGTTTTGTGTCCCCAAGGCCCATTCATTTCTCACTAAGACGTGTGCCGACTCTATTTAAATCTCTTTCTCTCTCTCATTTAGACATTCGTCAGTTTGCAGGAGTACCACGCTAAAGGGCAGCTAATCTCAACAATTTCCACTCTCCATTCTCCATCTTTTGTAGATTTCATTGTATATGTATGCGCTTTAAAATGAGGTGTCCTTCCGTCTGCTGAGAATCGATAGCGGACGCCT